AAATAAAAAGATCAGCATTCACATATAGCACAGCATATTTATTCAGGCAACTGGATATTTTGGTTTTGCTAAAATTTTGAATGATTTCTACTTACAGGCCCATTATCTATCTTGTATTGAAAATAGTATCTAAAACATAAAGAGTCGGGTTGCTAGATATAAGATTAATATAGTAAAGTTAATAATATTAATGAAAGACACATTAAAGATGACATATACAAGTGGAGAGAGACATTGTATGTTCATGGAAAAGAAGACAATACCACAAAGATACAATTCACCCCATACTACAACAGCATGGATGCAATTCCAATTAAAATACCACAGGGTTTACTCTTAATACCTAGAAATCCGATTCTGAAATTTACATGGAATAGGATGAACCTAGAATGAAGAAAAAGAACACAACTGGGGGTGAAAGGATGCCCTACCAGACATCAAGACTCATTATAAAGCTACAGGAACTTGACTAAAATGTTTTTTCACGTAGTCAAAGCAATCTTTTGCTTTATGGCTCATTCTCTGATAAACAATTCTTAATTGTCTAGATTTAAAGGGTTTAACTCATCTCTTCCTTACTCCTCCTCCAATAAAAATCTAGGGTTATAGCACTTTCCTCAAAGAGTCTGTGAACATCAATTAATATAACTTACACTAATGCGCGTGATAAATAGTAAAGTAACATATAAATGTTAATTGTTAGCAGCCACTCAATAAATCATAGTTATTGACACCACATACTCATCAGTCCAGAGTTTATAATTATATGCACCTGAGCAAATGCACCTGGGCATAATAATAGCTGAAAAATTAATATTCTACAGGAAACAGAGACACTGATAGAAAATTGCCTTTCACATCCCTCCAGAGGTTCAGGAAAGGGTAGGGACGACGCAGCTTGCTTACCTTACTTTAGTCTTCCCCTTCCTCTGCCAACTCTGTCTCTTTGTGCACGACCACCCTCGTGACCGACATGTCAGGGTGCTGCTCTCTGGCCTCTCTGATCGCCTGAGCCAGCGCCTGCCAGGGTGAGGAGAAGGACAGCTGTGACTGAGGGAACAGGCTCCACCTCAGGATGGCAAAACACATGCACACTGATCAACCCAGACTCAACTTCACGCCTAAATGCTCTTACTTCTTTATTTAAGGAAACAGCAAGATTTGAAATGGGTTCATTGTTCATGTCAGAGAACGCTTCTCATTTTCCAAAATTTCCCAATCCTCCAGTCCACTTCCAAATAATGATACATACAGAAGAAACATGTTGGCTTTGATCCCAGGCTTACACTCACTGTGAGATTCGGAGAACACAGTTCTCTGAGCCTTAGCATTCTTACCTGTAACCTGAGACTAATGTTGAGGCTGTAAAGATCATTTTAAGGTTTGCTGTATGAACTGAAGTAATGATGTAAAGCAGCTAGCAGAGAGTCTGATCTAGACACTCAAGTGATACTAGCTATCACCCAAATGCCTGAAGCTCCAAGGCATAGGCCAGGCCTTGCTCATCTTTGTCCTCTTAGGCTCTCAGTAATTGTCTGAACTAAAATGTTTGCTAAACTAAAATACTGCAGGAAAGATACCTATAAACTTCAAGGGCAAAGAACTAAAAGAGCAGTAGCAACAACACAAAATCAGGAGAGCTAAAGAACAGAGATAAGATTCTAAAGGACAGCTCCCTATTTTATGGCTGAAAAAACCTAGGGCACAAAGGTTAACAGGGTCTTGTCCAGGACATCCAGCCTGTGAGTGGCAGGACAGGAGTGGGACCCTGGGTGCTGACGCCATGGTTCATGGTCTCTTCTCTGAAATGGGCAACGAGAAAGCAGAGTTTCTTTGTGTTATATCAGAAAGTAAGCTGTGTAAAAGTGTTCTTGTAAAGTGGAAAGATACTATCTTTTCAGAGAGGGAAGATGCTTTTCATTGATTGTTGATCATTTTATTTTCAAAGAGGTTTTGGGGAGAAAGTAGAAAAACAAAACACCATAGAACAACAAAGTCTAAGAAAGAATTCTAAAGAAATTCTGCTAGGACAGAGAATATTGTATCTCCTAAGGAAACTACGCATTTAAAAAAGGCAGTGCAATTTTTTCTTTTGCTCTGTCACCTGCCTAAGGGGACAACTGCATTTCTTGTTTGCATGACAGTGTCTGTCAGCTGTAAGCTTATTGAGCAGAACCCTGAGCCTCATTCCATTAAAAAAACAAAAAAAAAAAAGGCTACAAAAAAGGCATTGCGTTTATACCAAAATGTTTTTTTGCACAGAAGCTTGGAAGACACTTGAGGGTGCTTAAATTTGCACCAGGAACCAAACTCTGGTGAGCCACCTGTGTCAGGACAAGAGAGGAATAAGCATGGAACCAGCTCCCATCTGAGCAGTAGCACAAGTGTTTGTCAAGTGGGGAGAGTGGACAGCTGCAGGGCGAGAGTGCAGTGGGAGCAGGAGCGAGAGCTGGTACCAGAGGAAGTCAGAAAAGCTTTTCCGGTGTGCTGAATGGGATGGAAATAGGGAGAAGACAGAAAGCACAGGATTGAAGTTTTACTTTTTTTTTTTGTTCTGTGTATTCAGAGGAAAGAAGACTGGAACGATCCAATATGATCCTGCATATTGGTTTGTGGACTCCGTACCATAAAATGCCAAGGACAAGCTCTGATGGGAGCCAAAGGCAGCTACAGATAAATAATCGGATACTTTGAGTTCATGTTCACTACAGAGATCTTCCTGCAATAAACCAGGCCAACTGTTAAAGAGGAAATATGACGGATGCCCATGAGAAGGTAACATGTGTAAAACACATTTTAAAAAGCAGAAAAGGAAAAGCAAAAACTGCTATAATCATCTTCAAACACATTTGAAATCAGTTTGTTATAACTCCTTTCACTCCCTAATATCAGCAGTTGAAATTAAATACTATAAAATATTAATTACAGCAATAAGGATTGTTGAGAAAACTATCATACTGCCAAATTGAGAAATTATTTTATTACAGGAAGAAATACACTCTGAAGAGCAACTGCAGTGTGGTTTATCCCTTCCTGGTAGGGAGCTGAGAGAGTCATGACCAGCACAGGGTGAAGAATCTGCAAACCAGGTTTCTATAAAAGCATGCCTCTTTGATTTGCCAACACAAAAGAGATTTCTTTTTTACTATCTCAGATGAAGGTTTCCTTTCCCTTATTAAGATTCCTTTTAATGTAGGCAAGGAATGAAAAAGGTGTCAATGACAATAAGGTCGGTACATGATCAACATTGGTTTTCGACAGGAAAGGGATTCCCTCATTTAATTTTAAATAGTTCCATCATCTCATTTACAGGCTTTAAGGAGAAAGAGAACCCATCACGAGCTGCTGGTGACAAGCATCCTGGAAGCCACAATCAAATTTACTCAAAGTGTTTTATGCCATCTCACAATTAAACATGAAAAAGAATCTCTATCCTCTTCATTTGGATATCTGACCTCAATTTTAAAAACAGCTTAAACATGACATCATATAAGAGATGCATGTCTTTGCAGCAACAGCAGTTAAGGTTGCAGTGGCATGATTTTTTAAGAGTTATGAATGTGTGCTATTCTGGTACTTATATTTCAGGTTGTGTTTTTAATGTTTACCTTTCAGAAGAAGTATTATCTAGATTTGAGTTTTCAGGTAAAATAGCCCAAAAGACAAAAGAATACACATCACATAAAACCTGAGAGCAGTCCTGCTGGAAAAGTGGCCTGAAAGGGCTCAGGTTTGGTGGGGAAAAAGGGTACAAAATATAATGGCTGAGAGACCCCAACTTGTACTTTCCACCACACTAAAGAATGTGGGCTTCTGCCTCGTACTCTGTGGGAATTCAATAAATGCTTGCTGGGCAAGAGTCCCAGAGAAAAAGAGTAAGAATCACTTCAGGTCAGGGGAGCTCAAAACTGTCCCGGTGGACAGCAGAATAAGTCCTCTCTGGGAAACTGGAGGCGTGGATTCCACATAGGTATTCGTTTTTGGTGGGTAAGCAGGCAAGTTTACTACAGTCATCTCCTAGGAACTGCCACTCTTAAGTCAAAATTCAGAGTCAGGACCACTCTCAAGGAATTAAAAAAATACATTATGAATATGTAAGTAAAATAATGCTTATAAAGGTCAAAAAAATTGGGAGTAATTTTCTTCTTAAGCATGAAGAAAATCCATTTCTCTCTGGTCACATGGAGGGAGACTTTCTCAAATGAGAAATGTTGTTCTCTAAAATTCTCTTTGCTGAGCTCAATATTGTATTCAAACCTATATAACTACCATTAGCTCCTACTCCCCAGCTGAGATGGCCAATTGAATATTTCTTTTCCTTTTCTTCAAGCTGTTATAAAGGAAAACAGCTTGGTCTCCTTTAAGTCTGAGTTAAAATCACTCAGGAAAAAAAAAAAAAAGCTGCTCTCAAAGTCTCCAGCGGTTCCATTCATCACCTGTTCAAAGCCGAATACACTGCCAAACTTAACATTAGAATATAAGCATGATTCTTTCTAAAAATTTTTCAGAATCAATGTAAATTTTCACTTTGTAAAAGACTTTAAATTACCTCCCCCCCACCCTGATAATAGAAATAATTAGAGGAAAACACCTGGTAGTAAATGGCCCAGCTTTTCCAATACTATAAAAAATACTTTAAAAGTTCCTGAAAGTAGGATTAAGTCAAGCTTAGAGGCTTTTTCCATTTTTTTGGAAGCCCTTATCATTAAACTGCCATTCACTTAAAAAATATTTGATAACTTGCCTTTAAACCAGGCCCATATGAATACCTAATGGTTGCCAGAAACCTCCAGATTATTTTGACCCCAAAATGCATGTAAAGCCAGTGGAAAATAAACAGCAATCTAAGTTTTATGTTGAGTCAGAGGTAGGAAAGCTGAAAGGACAGGCTGTATCCAGGCTGTGAATTATCTCTATGCCCTGCTTAGGAGGTGGACTTCATCCAGGAGGTACTGGGAGAAAGGGTTTACACAGGGATGTCAATGATGACAGATGCAAAGCTTAGAAAACAAACACCATCATGTTTAGATCTAGAACTTAAATTCTTTACCTGGTCATGATCAATATCTGCATCTCCTGTGATCACGATGCGTTTCTCAATTCTTGTTTCAGATATGCCACCTTTTACAGTCTAAAGGTCATAGATGAGAAGAAGAAAAAATATCAATCACTAAAGCATGTTTACACAGTCAGAGAAAGGAGATGGCGCCCACCTAAACCTGCTGACTTTTGTGATGCCACACACAGTGGCAGAAAACTGATGTTCTAGGTAATCACTAAATGTGATGTAATCTATTTTTAAGCTTAGTAGAGAATCCCATTGTTAAAGTTATAGCATCCACAAATATCCCTCCACTGAAGGCAACCCTAAAACTAACTTATCAAAATTCAGGTCAGATTAATGGGACTGACACCATTTAACCCAAGCAGTTCCATTGGGACAGTCTGTCATAATTTCCTGAGTTTCTTTACTCTTAGTTGGCCAATTTTTGAAAAGAAGAGTAGAAAGAAGAAACATTGGTATTTGTAGAGTTATAAAGAATTCTAACAATTTAGCTATATGTTTTAGGTTTGGGAAATTGTTTGATGAAATAATTTTGACTGCTTGATTCTGGTCACACAAATTCATTTGATTTTGTTCATTTAGTTTAGTGAGATAATAAAACATAGGACGTGAATTTAAGATATGGAAGATGGGGAGATTTTTGTTAAATGCTTGAGTACAGCTTCCACATGTAGCTGTGCACATGGACATGGAGCATGGCTGAACAAAGGCTCTGGGGGAGCCTGGGGGGGGAGCCTGGGGGAGGGAGCCCCTGGGTGAACTGCCTCACAGAATCAGTGTAAGCTGACAGAGCCTGGGGCAACCTGCATAAGGCTGAGGTGATCATTTGGCTGTGACCTTCTAAACAGACAATGAGCAAATACCGCACGGTCCTGAAAATGCACATATCCAAACTTTAGACTCTAATAAATGTACACGCTCAGTAACAAGTGAATGCCATTTTACTGTAAGAAGCAAGGCTTATCAGTAGCTTTAATAACTAGATACATTTTTAAATGAGCACCAATAGCAACCTCCATTTATGTGGCATTTTTTAATTTACAAAGTTTTTTTGCTTTTTTTTTAAATTGTTGTTGAAACATGGAGTGGGAAAGGCACAAGGGACACATTTAAGACCTTTAAGCATTAATCGTATGTGAAAAGTAGAAGCAAAAGGAAACAGTGGAAAATAAGGCTGGAGTTAGAAATTTGATGACTTTAAGCACGCATCAGAATCACCTGGAAACGTCCTAAACACTCCCAGGGTTTCAGCAGCTCTGAGGTGGAGCCACAGTATTACGCTTCTAACAAGTCCCCAGGTGACGCTGAAGCTCCTGATTCAGGGCCACACTAGTTACCCAGTGTTAAACATACAGAGAATGATCCAGAAAAATGCCCCAAATCATCATACCACTACTCTTAAATAAATGAAAATTCACATTATTTGAACACCTGTTGAAACTTTTGAATGATGGCCTTCATCCACTTGCTTCAGTCAGGAGGGCTGGTTTAATAAAAAGTAGCAGCACAGGTTTGTTTTTATAATTTTTTTGTTTCTATAAATTATATTATCTCTGCTCTTATAGCTGTCTTAAGTATAGCTATTCATAACATATTTTTAACCCCTTGTACTTTACAAAATTGCAATTTGATTTACATGCATTTATCAATGGAGCCTAATTTCTCAGACACTTTAAATCAAGGCATTTTTATTCCACTGACATTGTCTGTGTATTACTTGGAAGCGTGTATAGGAAGAGAGAAACAATTCAAAAAGATTCTGTTCACAATGTACCATCTTCTCCATAGGATTCCCCTAGATTGCTTTACCTTGGTGATGTGTGTGGTTGTCGTTGTCGACACGGACTCAGCTGTGATGGTTTGTGCGGTCAGTAATGTGCCCGAATCACCGGCCCCACCATCAATCTTTGGATAGTTGGGGGGAAAATACAAAGTAACGTTTAACTTCCATTATATTGTCAGAGAGACCCCAACCCTTCAAACACACATCTTTTAAATTCTATGCAGTTGGCAGGTGATATTATCCACCTGTCCTTTGCATATTTGCAGTGCTAATTTATTGTCTAGGAGAATGGCTGGCATTTAAAACAGAATAGAGACAAAAGGCCAAATGCACATGGAGAAGCAAACCCTGTGAGAAAAGACAAGAGGAAGAATGGAAGGAGAGGGTGGGATTGAAAGCTACAAGGGAATCCTGGCAGAACTTGTCTGAGGGACATTTGAAGAAGGTCACAAAAAGAAGTGAAAGATCCAGGGAGAGAAATTTCCACGGTGACAAGAAGTGCTGAGTTTGTTACTGTCTTTTAAGCACAGGCGGGTAAAGATAGATAAACATTTTCTCAGATAACTAAGCAACACAACCTGACTAGACTGACTGAACCTGTGTGATTTGGTTATTTATTTACTTGTCTCTAGTAGATAAAAACTACATTGTTCCTATAATAATTTGTGGGTTGTGAGTATATATACAGGTACATATATTTCAATATTGCAGGTATGCATGTGTCTCTCTACATATCATATGTAAATCCCATGCACATGGTAAAATAGGTTTAACTTAGTTTTTTTTTTCTTTTTTTTTTTTGATACTGGAAGAGGCAGAAGGTTCTAGAGTTTACCAGGGAAAATAATGAAGCAAATTAATAACCTAACAGTTTATATTAAGATCACCAAATACATTTGCCTTCTGTTTCCCGACACTGACACAAGGAAATAACCGGAAGGTACGGAGCCTTTCTGACCATAAGTTAAGAGGAAACCTGTCTCAAACTTGGGTCATGCACCTGTATTTCTTTATTCGGGTACTTACCACAATGTAGACCCACGAGTAATGACCCCCCACAACCATTCACAAGAAATCTATTTGTACTTAAGTGGTATCTGTGCACACATATGGATAGCATACCTAAAATAATCTTAAGAAATGTTTCACGCATGCACGCATTAAACCTTTTAAAAAAATAATTTGAGAAGGCAATCATTTGCCATCCTCTACCATGATACAATCCTACCATGGAAGGTTCAACTTCTCAGTAGAGAAAATATTTATTGTATATATTTTTAAATAGTTCCTTTTTGAAATGATGAATACTTTCCTTTTTTTGTTACTCTTAAAGTTAAACATCTTAATGTTTATTTCAAATCTTTACAAAACCAATGTGTAAAAACCTAAAATCAAACACACGCATCTTATAATTATTTAGACATATAATATCACAGTTTACATATCAAATTACTACAAAAGTCTTCAGAAAATAATCCCCCATTAAGGAGAAGCACAGGTGTGTGTGTGCATGTGTGTTTTACTCATAAGCAACTATGAGTTGATTGGATCTGTTTTCATGGAATTCGAGAGGGAAAAGAGCCTAAATCCTAATCCACAATTACATCGGATTCAATAAACTGTGTAAGATGAACTGTTTCTCAACGTTTGTTTCTCAATGTTTGTACACAAACATTCTTGGATACATCAGGCCAGAAATGGCTTACAATAATAGGAACAAGATTGATACCGTCTGTCCTAAATAATCGTATGTATGGTCCTCCTATTTACTAGGTTACCGACTTAATTGCAGCTCTCTGTCTCAATCTAAGACAGCAACACAGCAAATTATGTTATTGTTGAAGTACACTTATAAAGCCAGAAACATGTCAGCTAGGAGAAGACAGAATGAAAACACAGACATATTAAGTGGAAGAAAGAAACAGTCCACGTCTACAGAGCTTTTATACCTGTGGAGACTCATATGTGATGGTTTTGGTCTCAGTTTGGACAATGGGGACTTCCTTGGTGGAGATTTCTGTCCTTTGTGAGGCATCAGAAATTGTTACCATCTCTGTTTTTACCACTGGTGGCTGAGGTGGAAAAGGAAGGGAAAAATAAATTCTAGAGGTAATAAAGTAAAAGTGCTTAATGGAACCTTCAAAAATAATTGTAAGAAACATAACCAAACACACACTCATGCACAAAAGAATAAAAGCAAATAATCTAAAACAAAAGATATAAAAGAAAAACTTTCCTTCAAATATATGTGATATATACACATATTACACATATATACACATACATGTGTACATATATACATATACACATATTTGAATATATGTATATGTGTATATACACATATGAAAAATAAACTAACACAACAGCTTCCTATATTACTCTTCAAATCATGATGATCTCAAACTACTTAAATGTCAAGCCTAATGTACAGTTATATATATATATTTTATATTTATATATATATATAGAGAGAGAGAGAGAGAGAGAGAGTGTGTGTGTGTGTGTGTGTGTGAGAGTGAGTGAGTTTAGCTTTGGGCAAGTATTAATAAATTGAAAAAAACTACAATGAACTATGTGAAGTGACCCGCTTCTATTTTCAGTGCAGTTTAAAAACCGCATGGCTTGTGTGAAGGCTCATGGCCTTTACTTGGCACACCAGCTAGAGAGGCTGAGATTTACTCTTCTCCCCAAAATGCCTTCTGCCTTATTGGCCAACAGACATATCATTTTCAGAAAGGATATCTTCAAGTATGATCGTTTTCAATTATACTTGTCTAAAACTTAAAGTGTTTCTTCTGTATTACATGAGTTAAAATGCTATATCTAAAATTACTCTGTTAATATTGCATTAATGCTTTGAACAATTTAAAATATTAAAGGAGAGGTTCTATGGCTTAACAATATTGTAGTCTGCTGAGCATGTATGTTTAATACAACATCAGACTATACTACTACCAAAACACTACAGTATTTTCTTTGCCAGAAAATTCCCAATGGATGTGACTATTTAAAGAGGAACGGCCATATATTAAATGCAGAAAATAATAAATAGTCCAAAGCATTCGAAGATGCTTGAAATATCTTCTCTGAAGTGAAATAGGAAGTTTAAAAGCAACAATAAAAATTCACTTAATTATTTCAAGACAAAGTAACTTCAAGATTTTCCACCTCATCAAAGAGCAAAATATGGATAAATCCCTATATTGTGGGCATTTAACATGACAATCAAGAATATTACAATGGAAGTAAACCCTCCCTCAGCCTATCTCTCAAATGAGAGACATTGCACCTAGTGACCAAGAAAAGTTCTTTCTTGCAAAGAAAAGGAAAAGACTCATATCCAATGTAGATAATCCACAAAACATATAATCAACTTGCAAATAATCCAGAATTGACATTTGGAAGAATGAGAAGAGAAGGGCATTCTCCTATCATACAGTCTAGCCTCTGGCTGCCTGGAAAGAAGGAAAAGGCTCTTAACCAAACCATGTAATCCCTGGAATCTGAAAACAGAAACCACTGTGGCATTCAAGAAATAATGTTCTCATCACTGCCGGATACTGCATTCAGAGCACCATGGTAATCAGGTCCTGCTGTCATTTCTAAAAATCTGAAGTTGAAGAGTAAGAGAATGAGCCTAGATATCAAACCCAATCATGACAACAGGAGCACACACACTCACACTGACCATATTTTTCAGCATTACATATACATTTTTCTAATTAAACCAACAACAACAAAAAAAAAGCATTTAGTGTGAGGAAGCAGTGCAACTAAAGACAAAACAGTTGGAAACAACCAAAACATGCAAAGAAACTTTAACCGTGAAAAGGAAGGAAAAAATGATGTGGTGGTTGTAGGGAAGTTTACCCTAGAGGTGACCCAGTTGCAGTAAGGAAGCTAGAAACCATGAACTGAGCTGAGCTGGCAGAGAATCCGCAAAGCGGTGCTTTCCCCCTTCCTCCCAAGAGAGATAAAAATCAGATTCTTGCTGAAAAAGCTGAAGGAGAATGGGGAGAACAGGAGGAGAAGAAAGGCAGGAGTCCCCCACCTGAGAGATAGCCCTAGAGTTTAGATCCCACTCGGGACTCCCATTTACCTCTGAACAACAAATAATTTGTGGCAAAACATCAATGTCAACATGGGACACCTCTCCGTTAACTTTATGTTGATCGTCCTCTGTTTCTTCTCCCACGTCTTGCTTAAGACCGCCTTCATTTACACTCTTCTCTCCAGATACCTTTTGGGCACCTATGTTTTCCTGGATCACTGTTTCTACTGTGATTACACTGGCACCTGCTTGTGTGACTGGGCTGGCTTCGGGCACTGCTTCCTCCCTCTCTACTACCTTGGCTGCTCGGCCGGGCTCTTCCTCCACCTCTTCTTCATCCTCCTCCTGCTCCTCCCTGATGGTGCCCTCGGTCACATGGTGGTGGGGCCGGTACTCGCCCACGTCTTCCTCCTCACTCTCACTGCTGCTGCTGCTCTCAGAAGACAGGGAGGTGGAGTCTTTTTGTGTCACAGGCTCCACCTTACGAATCTCCCCAGGACCACTCCCAGGTGAGATCTCTTTACCATTCATTTCTTCTGTGATTACTCTTTCGTCTTTCCCAACCTCTGCCCGCTTCTTCTCCTCCACTACATTCAGAGTCTCATGTGAACTCTGTACAAAAAAGAATGGACGAAGGAAAACAAAAATATATGAATAAATAAAAACAACGGAAACCCAAATTAACTGATGGCAGATTCATGTCATGGAGAAAAACAAAGATGATTGTGATGGCTGACTGGAAGGGAAGCGGGGAGAACGTGAGGCAATGCAAAACGTCAGGCAATGGTGTGAACGTGGAAAAAGGGGAGAACCTTAACAGCATCCCTGGCTCCAGTGCAAGGCCCTTCTGACTCGGGAGCACGTGTCTGCAGAACAAAAAGCAACCAAGGACACAAAATCAATACAGTTGTACCTCAACAACCACCGAAACAAACATCTGACACTGCAAAGACAGAACAGCAAGAATCAACATCTACAAAAACCTTTGCTCAAGGTCACATAAAGGACAATCAAGACAAATGCCAAAAAGCTTACAAAAAGAAACAAAAACACAAAACAGCCAACATCATCCCAAAGAGGTAAAATGCTTTTATTATAGTTATACCTGTAAGCTCTACTTCTGTAGTTGAAAGGTTTTAAAAAAATGGAATTATACCAAAGCTTACTAATCATTTTAAAGGATACATTTTAAAACTTTTTAAACCCATTCAATAGTTTTGGTTTTAATCAGACTATAAAGCCTAGTCCGGAACTCTGCTTCCTAAATGAATACAACATTAAGGAGATGGAACCTTTATTTTTTGCTGGTTCTTTTAAAAAACAGCTTTAATTTGCAAAATTATAGTTGGCCTCGGATAGCTATTAACATAAAAATGTTCACTTGAGGAATGGTTATTAACATCCCACTTCGTACTACAGATGAGTAAAGGAGATATTGCACATTAGGGTGGATGTCAATGATGGCTATGAGTGTTTTCTCTCTCAATTTAGCTCCTTCACTAGCATCTTTGAAATATGAAATGAATCAAGTTTATTATTTGAGACTCTCATGCCTAACCCCTGCAGACATCTACTTCTTGGGAGTAAATTAATTTTTTCTAGTTGAGTAATACAGCACCTATATGTTCAATAAATACCTGTTGACTGAATACATTAATAACATAAATTACTATGCTATGGTATTATTAACTAGGGTAGAAACTTTCTTACAGAGTGTGTTTTAAAAGCTTCAAATTTTTCTTACACTTATAAAAAAGGCTACTTTACATTGATACAACTAAAGCATAGCCAACTTTTTGACATTCGGGTGGTACTACTGCCTGTGATCTAACTTAAAAATAATTCAGATCAAGACAGTAGGCCTATTTATTCAAGAAGGTGTCTCCATGCTGAATGGGGAAGGGCACTGCACCTCTGAACCCTCTGGAGACTAACTGGACTGGAGCTGTTTCCTATAACAGATAGCGGGAGTGTGTTCATCTGTCCCAGAGGCATGGGCAACCATGAGCCACAGACCCTAAAATGGCACACTTCTCCGCAGCACCTATCAGCATATACTCACAAACTGTCTTTGATCTGCCCTATTATTCTTAAATGCATGGTTGGGGTATGTTTGCTTCGCTCAAAATTAATACCATGTAAATCACGTTACAGAACAAGAGAGTCATCTTTCCAGTTTTACTGACAACCCAGAAGTTTTAGATATTAAAACTGGAAAACTTTCAATTTATTTTGATAAACAGGTAACATTTAACTACTTATAAACTTCCTTATAATAAAGATACCCAGTGATCACAACATATCCAAAAAGGACATTTCATTATTATTATAGGTGATTAAATTATTTTTACTATTATTTCTTAACCTCAAATGGCTGGACAGGTTTTGCTCACGTTAAGGGAATTCTTCAGGGTCATTCAAAACAATTATTTCATGGCAGGCACTTCAAAATTTTCCATAAAAACAGTATTTTAAAATCCACAAGCTATCAGAGATGCTTGAAATTTGTGTTTTGAAAACTTTAACACTGCAAAGCATATTAGCTTCTACTTGGTTGAGGGTCTCCCTCTGCTTAACAACTCAGACCCTGGGCCTTAATGGTTTAAATGATTCTCTAAATTTAGGCAGATTTTTCTTTTTTATTTTGACCAAAAGAAGCAGATACATCCAATCTGTATCTTTTCCTCATGTCCAAATTCACTGCTTCTTGAATGTTTCTCCCAGGAAGAGTTAATTTCACCAATGAAAGCAATGGAGGGAAGGGTTCCTGAATATTCAAAAAATGAAAATCACTCTCAGATGTGGCTTTTAATAACAGGGGAAACAAAGTAAAATGCACCTCAGGCAAGTGTGAGAAGGGCGAGGAAGAAAGCTTTTCAGAAGGTGCATTAGCGTTCACAACAGCGCCCTCTGCTGTCCAAGCGGTGGCTGAAGTGAAGGAGGCTTTCACGCTACCAGAAAAGCCCTTTTCACTAAACAAAATGGATGTTATCTCCTCTTCTAGGCTCTAGAGAGGTCAGAAAAGGAAAAGCAAAGAATTAACAATAAGTCAGGACAGACAGCAGTGACCTATTGAAAGGAAGGAAAGGTTACACAAGAAAGAATAACAGAACAGCATACAACGGAAGAAAGATGAGGATTCTGAAAGATTCCGCAGCAGGCTGTTGTGGAGGTTTGCCTGAACGTGTTTTCCACCCAGCTTGAGAATCTTTGTAGCTGTAACCTAACAGACACTGGTGAAAGTGCCTTGGCTTATCACTGAAGCTTTACTACAAACTGAGCACAACCCACCTACCCAAACACTATTTCGTATATTCCTGAGGTAGCTGCTTGGCCTCTTTCTGCACAGAACGCCTCTCCAGGGGCCCCTAGACTTGAAATGCTTACTCCTGTGTTAGAGCTTGGGCACTCCTACCCTTCCTGCCTCCAATGTCCCTCCCCCTGCACTCTGGGCCTTTCCCATTTTCCCACCTCTCTGAGGCCCACTTAATAGTCCACATTTTGTGTAAGGCTTTGTCTCACCACTTCAGCTCCTAAGATCTCTCTTCCCTTCTCCACACCACTTTAACTCTCTGCACAACAAACATTCCAACAGCAACCCGCAGTAATTTCCTCAGACATGCTAAAGATGCCATGGGATAAATAAATAGTCCTCTCTGGGGGACAAAAAGAAACAGGTAAAAAAAAAAAAAAAAAAAAATCAAAATAGGAAGACAAACTCAGAGCTGCAAACTCAATGAGCATGTAAAAATCATCTGTCCCTGAAAAACTATTAAGGCAAATTTAACCTTCACATTTCTGGACCTCATAGAATGGTTCCTGACTTGTCTGAGGGGAAATCTGGGGACTGTCCTCAGAAACCTGAAATGCCAATAGTAAACAGTCACCATGAACCACCTCCACCCCCATGTCAGAAGTGTGCAAGAATAATTCCGAATTAACTTCACTATTCAGAGATCTTAAAGAAAAATAAATGACATTCTGAGATGCCCTTTCAGATGGTGAGCCTAGAGGGGTGAAGAGTAGGGACAGTGAGGTGAGGGTGAGGGAGGTAGCACTTGCAATATTCAGGGGAGAAAAAGCTTCTGGACTAATTCGGCTTAATTGCCATGCCCATAATTACACCATCCCTAGGGGTAGGGTGGGTGGAAAGGGTGTCCCTCCCAGGAAGAGATAATTGGGGAGGTTAAATAAGTGCTATGCATTTAATTATTCAATAAAATACCTTCAAAAGTACCTTAAAACTATAATCTATGTAATCTCTATTAGACTCATCAGAGAATATTTTATGCAAGTTTAAATTGTCATAATTCTCACAATACATAAGGGGATATACAATAGTTATTTACCCATTAAAGACTAAATGACTTGGTTTCCAATTTTCTGCTCTACTCTCAAAATAGTTCAAATGCAAACTAAAGACATTTTGAAAGTCCCATATATTTATTTTTTTAAACAAGAAACCATTACTGCTTTTTAAAAAAATCTATAAAACCCTATTATGGAAATTTGGACAAATTATACACTTATGCATAATTTTTAATTTTACTTTCAATAAGGATTACAATTCAAAGATATGTGATAAACTCCACAAAATCAAACCAAAATGAAGATACAACAAAGAAACTGAGAAGGCATTTTGTAGACTCAACTGCTCACATACTTTCAACTAGTGATAGTATAGTACCTGAAGAAAAAAAGATACAGTGTAAATGTTTGTTGGGTGAGTGGATCAATGGATGATAGTAGTTAGAACAATCCATATGTATGTCAAATAAGTATATATTTTCCTGCATGTGTTGGAGAGGAAAGGAACAGAAAAAGAAATAGTAACTTCGAGTGCAGATAAACCATTTAGGAGCTTTTCCAGATTTAAATTTCACACATCACTTTATTATAACTTCTATGACATTTGTATATTCCTTCTATGACAAGACATCTTGTATATTCCTAAAACATGAGATCCAGAAAAATAATTTTAAACATCTCCACCCAAATTCCAAAGTTTCCTACTGCAAAAAGTCCAAGCACATCATCACCTTAATTTGATCAAATGATGCCACTCAGCTTGCTTCTGGAGGATATTTAAAAATACATATTTCAAAGCATATGATAGTAAAGTCCTCATTATACACATAGAGTCTAATTGGCTTTGGATTTCAGGCTAAACTTTAAAGTACAGAAATATGTCACTTGGTTTAGCTTTGATATTATCCTTCTCATTTGCAGTGTTCTGGAAATATTTCATCTCAACTAGACCTCCAATTCCAGTTTAGGGAATCCATTTATTTTGCCTCCTTCTACCCCATGGTGTGCTCTGACAAATACTCTCCACTGATTAACAAAATCTACTTTGTGGAAGGGAAACACTTTTTCCTCATTACTGATCTCTGCTCTCATTCACCCCCTCTGTAATTCATTCCTCATTCGGTGCCAGAGGAATTTCTGTCAGACACATATGGATTATGTCACTACTCACCTTAAAACTCTCCAACGCTTCCCCATCACTCCTACAATACAATTCCTAACTGTTAATACAGTCTTTAAGACCCTGATCTGATCTGGGGTCTAACCTCTTTGACCTTTCCTTCCTTCATGCTTCCCCTTGTTCACTAAACCCTGGTCATTTGGTCTTTCAGTTCCTTAAACTAGTTCCTGTGTCGGGGCTATCGTATTTGCCCTTTCTTGCACGCTGACAAATTTTCACGTGTGCACCTCCTTGTCAGCATTAAGGTTGCAATTCCAATGCCATCTCCTCCTGACCACAATGGTAAAGCAGCCTTCCCAATCCCCCTCCCCCCAAAACAACATGTATCTCACTTTCTTAACACTGACTTCTTAGTACCCCCAATTTTCTAATTAGTAATTTACATGCCTGCTGTCTGTCTCCACTAGACTCCACGCTTTCCAGTCCCAGCAAACAGTAGACTGACCAGCTGGCTAAGCAAAATCAGTAGAAAGAGAAGAATGAAGATACAAAAGCAATGGAAAGCTAACTTCCTCACTAACGTCAGATATTTCATATATGCAAGAACACAAAGAGAGATATGAGGGGCTGCTATAGTGCACCAAAATCTTTTTCCCCATCAAAAATCTTAAAAACGCAAATTCAAAAGGTTTCCATGTTAGTAAACTAGTAACCTAAAGCACATATAAAGTGTTAACATCACAGCGTGCGTAAGTGTTGTACAAACAGTGCATTTTCACATGAAATCAGAGTTTCCCGACTGTCAGCCACATACATCAAATTAGGGATGATTTATCACCTAAACTGGGTGATGTTTGTGCATTTCAAATTTTGAATTTTCAAGTAAAGTGCTTCTGCAATATGGTATTTCTCACCCAGTGATCCTATGCTTCTGTATGTGGGGATTTAACTTTTTAAAAGCTCAAAAAATTATTTCCAAAATATTTTTAGTTTGACACATAAGAAAAAATAAATGTATCTTATAGCTGTGGTTGGAAATAAAAGGAAAAGGGAAAAAAGCAAGAACAGATCCAAGGATGCAAGGTGAACACCTTGTCCGCCTCCTGAGCTTTTTCTTCAACTGTCCATGTTGCTCCCATCAGGTACTTCTCCTTCATGGATAAAATATCCTTGAAAAGATGGTCTCCTTTTCTCTATTGTTTTAAATAATAGACATAATCAACAAATAAGACACATATATTACACCTACAGCAGCACAAACACAAAACAACTGTGTAGGTCAGTGGAACAAACCAGATGCAATGGCACGTAACAGAAGGCCAAAACTTTGGCATGTCATCACACTGTTTCTCCAAAGAACACACCACTCTAAAACAGACTGCTGAAATTGACATGATTATCTTCAGAAAAATCTGAAAATAAGAATTTAAGTCGTATCCAACATCACAAGACCATGCATGGTATTTTAAATCTCTATATTTTTGAAAGTTGTGTTTTTCAGTTCAGCAATGATTTCTGCTCATCTGTTCTTCAAGACCAATTTTCCTTTCAATGGCACAAACTTAGAAATTTAAAGCAACTAACGGCTTTGCTTTTTAAGGAAAGGTGAATCAAAATAGCACTAGAATATCTAAATCAAATGTCTATAATTTGGCAACATTCAAGTCAGACAAGATGCTGAAAAGGGAAAGATGAAACTGTAGGATAATGTTATCTTTATACAAGTTTTGAAACTGCAGATTAAATATAGTATGAACACTGTCTCCTCAAGCATGATAAATGAGCCCAAGTAAGTTCTTGGTCAATAACAGGAGGGATTTGGAAGCATCGCAGAGGAATAGATGTAGATAAGAATGAATAGAGAAATATTTTGAGAATATATTCTAAAGGCAATACGTACTTATATTAGTGGTGAAGAGAAGTAAACCATGGCAAGGAAAAGAATGAGTGTGGAGAAATGGTATGATTGAAATGTTTTAAAACCCCTATTCTTCATTTCATTACTAGGAAGTTTCAATACTATGTTGTATTAAATATAACATTTTCCCAGTTTTCAACAGGACTCATCAGTCTTTAAAGCTAAGTTTAACTCATTATCCTCAGTAATTACCTTAAGCCACTCTAAATATGGTCTACATGCCCTTAATTATTAATGATTTAATTATTAAGTAAACATCCTTATTTTAGAAGTCAGCAACTAAAAAGCAAATACAATATAATGTTAGCTTCTAAAATGCCCTATATAACAAACAATTCATTACCACCAATTTACCTGAGTAAAATAGTGAAATTATTCTGAAACTATTTCAAAAGTATTTTGAAACATACAATCTACCTAAGCACTAGGCCAATAAGTATTACATTGTTAATAAATACTTAGTATTTAAAAAATTGTTAGCAATTACGCACAAAAAAAATTAAATGGGAACATTTTTTAACTTCCTGAGAATTAACATAGGAGATTAACAAACTTGACTTTTACTGAACAGCTGCAGTGAGACATATAGCCAACAAATAGCTAGTGACATACCCCTTGTGTCTGTAGGGACAGAGGTGTGATACGTCGTTTTTCCCATTCATTAGGGCGCGGCTCAGGTGTGGATTCCATAAAATTGCGCTTGAGTTCACTAATGCTAGCCTGATGTTTCAGTATGTCCTCCTGGGCCTTATCCAGGTCCTAGCAATACGTAACGTAACAAAGGGGGGAAAATCCAAAAAGAAAAAACCCAGTAGGACAAAAATAGAAAATAAAACCAAAAAATAAGACAAAGCAATCTTATGATTAAAAAACATAGTAAAGCAAGAAAAATGCCAAGTCTCAAAAGCCATATTATCACCTATGAATAACCTTAATGAGTTCATCAAAATTTGAAAATAAAGTCTTAATGTGTAAATGTTTATGATTTATATTTTAAAAGATTCTAATTCCTTCACTATTTGGAATTTTTAAAGGAATAATTATTTATATTATTAGAGGGAAGCCATGGAACTGATCATCAAAATAAGCTAACAACGCTTCTTTCTAATACTTGGATATAAAACTCAGCCCATGACTTTGTTCTAGCAAATTTACCTGATTAGGGTTACTAGTAAAATTGCATTCTGTGAACATACTAAATCAAGTACAAAACAGAGAAAGGTGGACTCAGAAGCACAGTTAGCCTAAAGGAGAAGTCAAACCAGGATAAACCCCAAAAAATGGAAAAACCAAGGGTTGACTTTTTTCACAGGAAATTCCAATGGTGGTTTATAATCCTTAAGGAATGAAAATTACTGCTTCCAGTGGCTGCTTCTGTTTGGCCTCTTTATGAAATACATGAATCATGCACTGGTCTCATGTACTTGGCCAAGCACAAAAGTGGGGCCCAGCCACCCCATATACCAAATGACCCTTACACAGACAAACATGCAATAAAAACTACCAGGTCAATTTTCATGGGCCCCAATAAATGGTGTTTGTGGGATTTTTTTTTAGACTAGCTCTAATAAATAGTATGTGCGGGAATAAAAGGTAATTAGTGTTCAAGAAGTGGTTTAACTGAATTTTAAATGTTTTCTTATATTTCAAAAATCATGGGGACACCTATGGATTATAGCTTTCTTCCCACTCTCAAAGGACAGGTCATGCATCTGATAAAATTAGATATTCCACATTCATGCACAAGCATAGTTGCTCATCTACGAGCTCCTATAGCCATTTGCAAAAACTCATGAAAATCTAAAAATCTTTGCATGGCATGGAAAAATGACTGTGGCTTGAGATCAGGCACATTTCTTACATTTGTTCAAAGCCATGTTATTTAATACACTTTATAGCATTTTAGTAAATTAGGCAAAAATACATTTCCATCAGTTATCAAAGCTACCAAAAGCAACCAGATTAGTCAGATTACTGAGAGCTGTAGTTCTCCATCAAATACATGGCCACATACTACCCTAAAATAAGAAGGAAAAAATGTTCTCACGTGACATGGGAAACGTATTTTACATTCCTAATTGGTTGGGCTTTCTTTTCTTTTTATCCTTTCTTTCTCTCTTGCTCGTTCTTTCTTTCTAATCAATAAAATTCCTTTAATTAGCTAGCATACTCTCAAACAGAAGTGGACCACATGCCTACTCACATGGAGTTTTAGGGAAAAAAAAAGTGGGCACAGATCAAGATTCAAATGATTTAATGCCAGATCAACAAACAAATATCTGTTCTGGTTAATATATTAAGGATGGGCTCATGTTACTTCAGATTCTATGCCCTTGAGATAACCCATTAGAGAATAGTTTTACTTGTACAACGACTTCAAGATTACTGAACAAAAACTTTATTCATTTGACAAAACAGAACTTTTTATTTTCCCACTTGTCACTTTGAGAACTTCTAGTAGACATATTCCTACCTAAGCCACTTTAAAAGAACACAGTCAGGCTGGTAACATGCACTCCCGAGTTGAGTCCCCTCATGCATTCCATGCACTGTGCTTGAGGAAAATTGCCAGCCAGCTTGTGCGTGCGTGACCTCCCGTCCACAGCAGCCGGGCAGCCATTAGGACAGAGTTGTTTTCTTAGATTATACAAACCTCCAACATTAAATTGCTATGTCTGACATAAATATTATCCCCTTCTACTCTCAAGGAATTTTTCTGTGAAATTAAATCACACACAGGGGGAAAAGGCAAATAAACATAAGTGTATCAATCAGCAAGCACCAGAAATGACCCAGAGTTTGATAGTCTAAGACATTAAAAAAAAAAAAAATTTTAAAAATCTTAAAAACTTAAAAGCCACAGCAAACACAACTCACAAATAAACCCTTAAAGTGCATCCTCCCCCAACAATAATAATGGCAGGCAGCAGCCAGGAGTATAGAACTTTAGTGGGGAAAAACAGCCACCTCCTTCAGCTGTGTTTCCTCTTCTTCCATCTTCACCTGAAAGTCACACCGCAGATGGCCAGAAAGAAGGGGAGTATTAGCAGAAACTCCACCATGCGTGCAAAGAAGCTGTATTTGAACTTGAATGGTGAGCTAGCATTACCAACCTTTATTGTTTGGCCCTCAGAAGATGCAGAATATTAAGCCAGTTTGTTCTTTCTTCACCTACAGTGTTGTACGAATGACGGAAATGATCCTTTGCAAAGGTGAAATGGAGGAGGGAAGCTTCACTCTTTCTCAGTCCCTAGATTGTGCTCCACTTTTGAATACTTTTTTGCTCATGAATGAAAATATGAGAGTGCAAAAACGGCATAATTCGATCTGTTCTAATTTGAAATGTCTAAATCAACTAGTGATGTGGTAAGGCATAATATTTGTCTTTAGCTTTATACCAGGGAACAAATGTTCACCATAGTATTCAGTTTTTAATATGGATTTCTTTCCTTGGGAAGAAAGCTGGTTTATTCAGCTACTTTCATATCAAAATGGTGGGTATTTAAAAATAATCTTTGAAATACAGCCACTTTTCTTTCACAAAATTCTTTAAACAAGAACAGTTTTTCATAGTTGGACATTTCTCAATATCTAATGACCCAAAAAATGAATTTGGAAGTTTAAAACTAACATAAATACGGACTGAATTTTAACTCAAGGAAAAGAAAAGTGAGAACGAAAAATCTTGGTTCTGATATCCATTTTAAGCTTTACGTGTTAATTCGTAACATATATTCCTTTCCTTCTTTACTGGGATGACACTGTCAAATCTGAGAGTTCAAAATGCTTACTTTTTAAAAATCATTCATAGTATTTTTGAGAAGTTAAGCAGGTAGCTCAGTGTCTTTTTATCAGAAGTGAAAAATGAGACACAGCCATTCAATAATCTGTTAAGAACCATCTTCCAATTCCTTGGTCAACACTTAAATCTCTAAAATGTTGATCTTTGGTATTCCTCAGGTAAACTTTTTAACAACTGTGATTTCTCCTACAATGCATACTCATTGTATTATCTTCACATTTTTCTTTAGGTTTGCTTTAAATTTTGTGATTTACTCTAGGTATTGATGGGACCCACAGAATGAGACACTAAATCGCCAGGCCACATGTAGCAAGACAATCAAAAACCTACTGCACATGTTAACACTGACTTAGTAGTGCAGAGATAGTAAACTTGAAAAAAAAATTGGCTTATATAGGGGTAAAAATTCTCAAACCAGACACCTAATTTTAAATAAAAGAGCACGAAGAGGCACAATCCTAGTGTTACATAATCTAAATTTTCAAAAAGCCATGTTTCATTTTTCACACACATTTGTTAAAGATAACAGTTCTTCCTTATGAAATACCTGAAGTCACTTTTTTATATAATTACATAATGTAGGGTTGGGAAAAAACATTGGTTAAAACTCATCTGGTCCCCAAATGCTACAATAATAGGGAGACAAGGAGTTTCTGAGATTAGACTAACAAATGTCAGGAGTAAAGGATGAGTTTGGATTTCTAAAAAGAGAAATAACAATACTAAGGAGTTCTATTAATACATCAATTACAGTTAATGTCCACTGCATCATCCTAAGTTCTATTCTATATCAAAACAAAAAGTTTCCATCCTAAATGAACAACGTTAATACCTGTCTGTAAAATGGAGAGACCCAGTATGGATTGTTAAGGGCAACACAGGTTTCCCTCCACCCCCACACCTTTTGTTAAAAATCTAGTATGATCTAGATATTTATAAAATAACCCTGTAATTTTGCTCTCAACTAGGAATGTGTGGACCTGGTCAACAGATATCAATGGAGGAGAAGTGTCTACACCTATTTCTCATGCATGAAAACGTAGTATGTTTGAAAATGTGCAGATAATACTATGTCAAGGATAATCAATGAACTTTATGCACATGTTTACACTCTATATTAGGAAAAGTTGAAGATAAAGGATAGGTTTGTTGACTCCACAAATTCAAGCTTATGTAGGAGTACCAGCAACAGCTTCCTCTTCCTCTGTTTTGTCATTCAAGTCACAGTTAGAAGCAACATTAAAGGAGGTGGCTTTGGCCTCCAAATAGCAGAGGGACAGAGCCAGAGGAAGGGAGAAGGTGAGAGAAAAAGGAACCGACTGAGAAGCAGAGAGAAGTAGCCCAAAGATGAGGATAAGGGAAGGAATGAATGACGGGGAAGTGATGGGGACATAGTGCTGAACACCAGCGGGGAGGAAGGAGACCCAGACCTTGGGGAGGCTGGGGAAAGCAAGATACCCATCTTCATCAAGAAGGGAGGGGAAGCCAGAGGAGAAACATTTGTAGAAACTGAAGGAGAAGTAACCACACTCAGAATCATCATGGTCAGCCACTTTAAGAGTCTTCTCATGGATGGGAGAAGGACAGTCAGGTTGGGGAGTGACTACAGTAGGATCCAAGACCAAATCAGGTGTGGCAACTTCAGGGTCCCCCTGCTCTGATGTTTCACCTGTGGAAAGGAGCTCTAAGCTGTCTAGGGTGATCTGGTCAGCCTCCCCAAAGGGGTCTTCCTCTGAAATGTCTGAAAGCAAGTCCATTTCAGGGACTGGCAGTAGGTTTGGGGAAAATGATGAAACACGGTGGATGAGTGGTGAAGGTGGGTACATGGCAACAGTCTACTCTCAAGAGCAAACCCATGGTTGAACGTGAAATTACACAACGGATACAAGCAAAGGCAAAACAATGCAAGAGAAAGAGGACAAAAGAAGAAATGGGTAGGTTAGTGAAAACTTTCGCTCTAAAGTCAGGATCATATTAACACAGTATTGTTAAAAAAAAAAATGAAATACATGATCCATTTTTCAAGAGGAAAGACTAGACTACTTTTATCACATAAAATTTATAGGTATCTGATTTAATTATTATTTTCCAACTGATTGCAAATAGATCCTATGAAATTCAAACAGCATTATTTACTTTTAAACCTGGTAGCGGACAGACATTCAAAGCATTAGCAAAAATGCCAGCATACCCAGTCATTTGCTGAAGCCAAGCGAGATTTCCTTTGAAACTTAGAAGAACTTGAAAAAAAAAACTAGATGTGTCAAACTAGGCAAAATGGAACAGAGATTTTCTGAAATGCTGAGCTCTTCTGTTTTCACTCTCCTGGGTGCCTTATTAGCATAATTATAAAAATATGACTCTGACAACTTCTCAGCAGTTGAAGGATACCTTTGTTGGACATGATTTCTATTATGTCTAAATAATTTTCGACCAAGTAAGTTTTCAATATGATAGTCACAAATTCTTTAACCACGGAATGCAAATAATTTAATGTCACCTGCTACATGAAGCATTTGTCCTTGTGGCACAAGACAGGGCCCACATGGTCCCTGAGACCTCCTCCATGCTGAACATTAGAGGCTATCGGTACAGGAATTCCTGAGGCACTGGCAGCTATTTTATTTAGCAGGTTCTGTATAAATTCATGTTGCATGTCTTTAAAATTTTCAAAGTTAAAATTCAGAAAACATTATAAATCCATAGGATGATTTCTTTTTTTTTTTTTTTGGTGCAGATATGGAAAGGAGATCTGAAGAACTCAAAGACTCTTCAAATCAATATTCAAGTGATTTTACTGGCATAATAATAAGTTAACAGTGACAAATTTGAGAACACAGTATAGGTTATTTCTCCGTTCACTATGGTGTATGCATAAAATAAAGCCAACAGCAACACACCATCTTCTACTCACTATTCACAAAACAATTACCCGTTGCCTAAGAATTTCTTCATCAGTTATAGATTATTAATGAAAAAAATTTTCATAAAGAACACTTTTGTTCATGTAGAAAATTCAAGTCAACATAATTAAAATAATCAAGACACAAGCTACACTTTAAAATTCACTTGTAACAAACCAAATATAAATTTCAAATCATCATAGCTTTTATAATTTGGGAATTTATCTTTCATATAGATATTATGAAGACAGACAAAAAGGTCAGTAAATTACTTACTTGCATTAATATAATTTACATGGAAATATTTTGCTTTGAACAACAATCAAAAAAAAAAAAAAGGTTAGAGACCACAGTCCAAGCCAGAAAGAGCCTACAAATATTTGAAAGTTGGGAAGTTTTATCAACAGAGAACATACAATGACTAATTTTAAACATTTGGTTTCTAAAACAGAAAATGCAACAGATAGTCTCTAGTCTATGTGAACGTTTAAAACCACAGACTGTACTAATATACCATACCTTTCCTTCAATGAGTTGCAAATGTGGGGCTTTAGTTGGGCTTCTCACTTCCCTCCTGCCGTCCCCATCTTGTACCATGGCAATGCTGACAACTCCAGGGCCATATGCTGAAATCTCCCCAGCAGAGACAGGAAAATCCTTCATAAGACTTTGGTCCACAACACCAATTGGAGCTAGTAAAGAATGATAATTTTGGCTTACTTTAGGACATATAAATGATAAAATTTTATGGAATTTCCCCCCCTTATACAGATAAACAGCCAGTATGTAAACAATTAACAGGAACAGGAATATTGATTGAGCTCTGAAAATACCACCATATAAAATAAACTCATATTTAAACTCTTACCAAACTCTGAAAGTATTATGAACTTTAACCAACTGGACTACACTGGGGTCTCAAAGCACAGTTTTGAAGGATATACTCTGATCATGGAACTGGCCAGTAGGAGGAGCTCTAAGACCAGCTGAAACACCAGAGTCAGGCAAAACGTCAGAATTACAAGTACTATTTTAATTCTCTTAAGTCCTCTTTGCTCTTGCTTGGATTTATCTCTGAATCTATCAATTGCCACAAGTAGTTATATAATTATTAAAATGATTTGCTTCAGTAAGTTTTAAAAATT